TTAAACCGAATGCAAATAAGTCAATTTGAGATGAAACACGAAGCGAAATTAATGTGCTACAAAATAAATACGACAAGATAAATGTTTTTGGCACTGGGCGTGTGGCAAGCAACAAGAAGATTAACTGGTGTCGGAGAATCTCACGGATGTGTGGGTGTGCTAATAAAAATACACAAGAACACGAGTCCTGCGACGCGTCCTTGTGAAGTGTGTGAAAAACGCTCCTGGCCTCAGCTTTTTGCGTGTGTGAGAGCGGCACGTTTAGCATTTCAAAAGGCGTATTGTTTATTTTTTCCGTTTTCCCTTGTGTTTTCACATTCAATGTTATTTATCTGCGTTTTTCCAGCACTCCAAACTCCTCCGATCTTTTCGCCTTTGTAACCCAAGTTCACTTTCGCAGACCGCTTTTGTAGTTAACTTCTTTGTAGTTTCGTTTGCTTATTCATATCCCCTTTTCGACACACACACACTCGCACACATGAAAAGTTATTTTTTCATCCGACAATGAAAATGAAAATGGGTGTGCGGAGAATAAGCGCAAGACTGGAAAACTTGTCACGTGATAAACTCGGAAAGCAAAAGAATGTCACGTACTAAGAACGCGGCGACAACCTTTGCCACTTAAAGTTTTAAGTTCGCAGCACAGAAATATGTTTTAATTCCATAATCAGCTTGCACTTGGCCAAAACCCGAAATCAATTCCCCATTGTTACTCCGGTGTCCGAAAAATGAGAAAAGAAAAAAATCCCCGAATATTTTAGGGACGACAAATGCTGGTCACGTAGATTTTAGTCCCCCAAAAAGTGGGGGACAGCTGTTTGGGTGCACTTAGCATTGCTACATAATTTCTGATGGCGTCATTTTAAGAATTATGAATGCCACGTGACTTTTGCTGGGCAAATAAAAGAGTCCGGAAATCAGGCAATAGGATTTTCTGCGTTAAGTTGAGCAGGAGTAATCGCATTAGGAAAACTGAGTCAGTGTGGAAGTAGAATATTGATATAAAAAATTATTTTGATTAGAAGGCTTTTTAAATAATGGTTCGAACGGAAATTAAAGAATTGGTTAAAAATTGCTGTATGGATTTACATAACAATTGGGAGTATCTTTTCTGATGAAAAATATATATTTATTAAATAGGCGAAATAGCCTTCTAAATCAAATACTATATTCCCTGGTTTTTTGATTCCAATTTGTTCGCCTGTGATTTCCAGTCGATGCTTAAAGTTTTCCTTTTTCGCAGGTGCATTTTAATTTATGTCGTCTGGCTGCGGACAAGCTCTGGCGGAAAAACACCTCGGTGGCCGGTCAAAGGTGTCACACATAAACCATTCAATCTGACAGCCAGCTGGGGAGATACTAGCAGGAAACCGGTGTCGGGATATAGTGATGTAGCAAAGCGATAGACAATGACAGTGCCCAATGCTGACCGCAGTTAAACTTTCGATTTCACTTCGTTAACGTGGCGAGTTGGACACGTTTCCGCCCTTCCGCTCACCTTTTCGTGTTCCGCAATTTATTTTTTCTGCACATTTGTCGAGAGTTTTCCCCCCGCTCCATATTCATTTCGGTGGTGCAAATTGCGCACGAAACATGCGAGTGGTGAGTGCACAAAACCAATTTGTAATAAAGACGACGCTGGCGAGGAAAACCAGGGAAAAGCGCAGTGCCTTCATTTCGTTGTTCATTGTTGTTTTGCCCGGTAAGAGGAGATTGGAGAGGGTATATCGTATATGGGGGAATTCTTATCAACAATACATAATAATCTCGTTCAATAACTTCAGAGGTTGTATCATCATATTTCTAAGATTTTAAAACTTATAACAACTTTAAATTTTTCTTTAATTAAGAATGGATGAAATGGTTCCTCCTGACAAATTTATTTATTTTTAAAAGTTATAACAAAATGATTCATTAGTAAAATATATTTGGGTATTTCCCCTTAGGATATCTTTTAGCCCAAAATTCCCTTCTAGTTCTATATAGTGGTTAAGGATAGGTGTCTGAAACGACTCAGTCGACGGGTTGGGATTATGCGGCATCAGAAGATGTTGACACATCACGCAGTCGCCGTGGCATTTGAATGTTTTCAATTAACTTTATGTAGATAAATAGCCGCAACTAGCCCCGTTGGCCAAGTTGGCTCAGTTGGCTTTAAGGACGACCAGAAGGACGCATCGCAACAAAAATGAAACATTGCACGGCTGTAAATTACGCCAGTGGAGCGGGGATAAGAGAGCGGTTGGCGGAAATTGCATTATCAGCGTCAAAAGGCAAAAGGATTCCCCCCCCTTTCCACCGCCCTTTGCCCCATTTGGTGGCATGTTTTGCCGCCGGCTCCTGCCGCTGCCACTTCCTGCCCGCCGAGACAATGAGTTGTGATAGCACAACTTTTGCAGCGGCGTCGCGCGTTGCGCATAATTACCGTTGGGGCGGAACGGGAGCGGCTCCTTTCCCGCTTTGCCCAAGACTGATGAGCTGTTTATGACTTGACGCTTTCCCAGTGCATTTAATACCCGTTATTGTGGTGCATTTGTAACTACCAGTTAATAATAGTGTGCAGTAAGAAATATAAAAGTTTACTTAAAATGCATACAATATTTTAGGAATGTGTTACTTAAAATATGTATAATATTTCAGGGATGTGTTACTTAAAATACATTTATTTTATCAAAGTGAAAATTAAGTTTTAAGGTAATAACTTTGGACTATACCTCTTTACCTCTATACCCATTATATTTATACATTTTTCAATCTATTAAATATTATATGTTGGGTAAACTATAATACTTCAACATTAAATTTAAATTTTATCAACTGTTTAGCTAACAAATATATTCATGTAAGTGGGCCAACTATTTCTTTCTCTGCACAAGTTGCAGCTGCAAAATGAATTACGCTATCTGGCCATTGTTCATCCCGTTTATATGAAATTTTAATGAATTGTAAAGCCAGGACATCTTGGAGCAGCACACATGTGCCGCTCGCTCGCTCTATCAGCCAAACATTATCGCAGTCTCCACTTCAAGTTCAATAAAGTTGAGTGCATGGCACAAATGGAAATTTTACGCATAGCCATCGAAGCGAAAGGGAAGTGCGGGAAAGTGCCCTTTAAAATCACTTTATTACGCCGGCGTGTGGGGTTACTTTCTCCCCCTCATGCTCCCTCATATCGGTGCGGACACATTTGTTGGGGGCGACAATTTATAAGAAAATTCCTATCGAACTTCGGCATCGTTGGGCCAATGTCTTTGGACCGATAAAAACCCACCCGGCACGCGCTTTAATCATGAATAATCATATTGAAAGCACCGCCCTGCACGCGCTGATAAGGGGGGCGTTCAACACAGATAGTGGGCGTGGCAGCCATTAAATGAATATTTCAACAAATTTGCCTTTACAAGTATATTTAAGAGCAGGCCAACGAGACTCGAAAGCCCACACACAAAACAGCTGCACAATTTCCGTTGAAAACTTTGCACTGCAAAGTTTTTGTGTGCGACTTCTGACAGCAACAAGAACCTTGAAAAGGGGGAGGGAAATTTAAAAGAATACTGAGTTCCAGATACCCTATCTTTGAATATTTTCAAGTTTATAGGAAATAAAGGTTTCAAGTCAACTAATTTTTTTGGAATTATTTATTTTGAAAATGAATAGCCTGTTTTACTATGTTTATTATTTATATTTAAAAGGAAATAAATTGTATTTCTTGGTATTCTAGAACAACCCTAAAAATGTTGGTATCCAAACTATTTTTATTGCTTTCAGAATTCAGGATATATTCATTATGCCCCATGTTGCATACTCTTCTATGACAAGTTGGAAGTTTCCGCCGCATGCATTTCAATTGCGTGGCCGTCGCCGTCGACATTTACATGGCAAGTCATTGGCCAAAGTATCCCCCCACCGCCCGTTGGTTGGCCATCCCCCGCAGTGGAGGGCATCTACCGCCTGCACAGTGTCTTACATCTCTTTGACTCTAATAGATTTTAATCAGCCGCAGGACATTCGCCCGGACGACAAGGACAACGACAACAACGTCGACGACATGCTGTTAAGGCCCCGAACCGAACAGCTTGGCGACAGTCAAAATTCCCGCTCAGAATCCGATGAGAACCGCCGGAAGCGAATCAGGCCTCGCCTTTAATTACGCCAGTTGGGGAATTAAAAGAAATGAAATGCTTATTTGTCCACAATTCTATGCTCGTGCTTGAATTAGAGAGGGCTATTCACACTTTCGCTTGGCTTTGGCCAAGGGCTTTGGAAATATTTCTGTGGAAAAGCGCCAGTTTAGAGAGCGTTTTTCCACACAATTTCCCGGCACAACCTTCGGGGCAGCGCAGCACACACCTCTAATGAGCCACTTCACATCCTTGAACCGCGCTGTTTTTTCCAGCACTTCGACACGTTCCATTTTTCTCGGAGGGTGCACACTTTTATTTGCGTAATTGGCCAAATGCTGAGTGATGTGGCCGGCGACTTTATGGCTGAACACATTTAATGCCTTATCGGCATCCGTTCTTGGCCATAAAATGACCCGTATTCTCACCCATTCCGCTTCCGATGCCAATAAAAGTGTCAAGTGAAATGCGTGTAATGAGCATTGGACTCCGGACTCGGAACTCCGATCCCTGACTTCTGACCGACCGGGTGGCAAAAGTGTTTTAAAATGCAAAGTATCACATTATTTGTGGGCATCGTTAAATTTCATTTAAAGCTGCACAAATGGAGCCGCCAGATGACCCCGGCGGGGGTCACATCCTCCGCTCCTGGCCGCGCTTATCTTGTCATTGTCATCTTTATTGGCTGCCATTATCGTCCTGCGGGTGTCCATAATTCCGCATGTAATTTGATTACCCACACAACCCACAAATTGCCACGCCTGCCGATATCAACAACTTCATCAGCACTTTGAGGTCACATTCCGGGGGAAAACTTTAAGATTTAAGCGGGGACTTGTATTTGCAAATAAAGAGGGAATTCAAAAATATCCAAGCAAATTGTCTGTACATCAAAATAGGAGCAAGGTTATTTTTTTAAAATTCCACACTCCATTTTATTTAAAACCTTTATGTTTTCACAAGGATCAAAAGTCATGTTGAAACTGCCGAGAATCATCGTGCAGCCGCATATAAAATACAGCTGCCGTAATGGCACAGGCTACCTGCAACAATTTGATACATAAATTATTGAACTAAAGAAATTATCTATTAAATTGTATAGTACTGCAAATGCCGTAGTGAGCTGGTACCAAGAGTTAGCGATGTTTTCGCTCAACTGACTTTCCAGATTTCCACACACAATCCAAAAAATCACCTTCACGATGCAGAAGATTATCAAACTGAATAAAAGCTGAAAGCACTTGTCATAATCAACGAAAATTCAAATATTGTATCACGCACCAATTTTGTTAATCCTATCCTTTTACAAACAGCACCATAAAAACCTAATGCCAAGAAAATGGAAATAATGAAGCTCGCTGCTAAGTTTATGACTAGAAAAGGCTTATTGATTTCAAGCTCCACGGTTCTTATATTGTGTACTATTTCCATGACATTCAGGCCCTGCGGATGCGTTCATGCTTATTAGTCAGTAGATCAAAAAGGTTACCAACTCACTAACGTTATGATTATTAGAAGCAGCAGACAGGCCCTGAGTATAAGATTTGGGCAACTGCACAATTTTAGAAATTTCTGAAAAGGCATGACAAATTTGAATTGATTGATAAATCTGACTTACTCACGTAATTAATGTAAAAAATAAAGATTTTTATAGATTTGTTAACAAAATACATCAACCCATTCTATTCTTTGTGGTGTTTATAAAAATGTGACAGCTTTTTCAACTCCAGCTAGTTATTTACAAGTGCTAAGCCGCAAGATGTTTAAGTGGCGGCCAGAGGACGAAGTCCTCGGAGTCCTGCCACATGTGTCGGGGCAACAAGGACGACAAAGCGGCCACCAGCAATGCCAACAACAGTGTTGACAATTTCCAGTTGAACGCACAAAAGCCAGAACCCGATGTTCCCCCATTCTGGAGTCTTGTTTGTTGTTTGCCGTCTTGTATCTTGTATCTGGTATCTGTCCTGTGTGTCCTGCCGCTCTGCTAAAATAATCGCCACAATAATCTGTCAACGACAGCTGCTGATGTCATAAAAACCTTTTGAAGATGTCGTTGGCCGGAGTCGTTGTTGGGTCCCCAAAACGGGCTAATGATAATTTGCCACAATTTACACTCAAACCAGCCGCAGCAACAGGAGGACCTCCTCGCTGCGATAAAATCATTGATGGAGCCAAAAGCTAATTGAATGTTAATCGCTTGCCATTGACATTGCACGTGGCAGCAAAAGACGGGGTGGAAGAGGCCAGGGAATTTCCCGGAAAAAGGCGAAATAGAAAACCCCCACTTAGAGCTTTTTACAGATGTTCGCGATAAAGCTCAAAGGTAAGCGGTCAATTTGCATAAGGTGATGATAAATCAACAGTGAAAACGACCTTTAAGCTAGCATCACCTATTTGTTTCGCAACGTGGAGCAAATAGAATACAAACAGTCTTTAAATTGAAAATTAAATTTTAATGTACCTCAGGATGCGTATCAGTTGGGTGGCAAAAAAAATGTAGAAAACGAGAGCAATTGGTTTTGTCTGCTTCTATGACATATCGCGATGGAAAATCTACTTTCTTTTCTTCTACTTCTGCACGAGTTGGTATGGTTTTACTTTTACTTTTTATTATACTCTTGCAGAGCGTATTATAATAGGAAAAGTTAAGGACTTAGGATTAAAGCAGTTTGTTAACTTTTAGACTCTTTGAGGTATTCCACTTCAAAATCTGATTAAAATAAGAAAAATTGTGGACACAAAATAAATTTTCAGCAAACTCAATTTTTGTAAATTTGGTAAGGGGCTTAAAGGGTTTAAAATTAAAAATATAAAAAATTTTCTGATGATGCAGTTTATTGTAGAATCAAAATACAAACATTTAGAGGTATGTCACTCCCAAATGTGATTTAAATCACAAAATGTATAGACTTAGAATTCTATAAAAAAAAGGGATTCCTTTCTTGTTTTTTGTTCTATTTAGTTTACTTGACTTGTTAAAGTAGCAATAAACATTAAATTGGCATATAAAAAATCTAGTACATTTCAATCAAATTTTTTGTAACACCCTGTTATATTTTACACCCAAAAAAATAACATAGAAAACAGTTGGTTGAAAACAAGGCAACAAATTTGCATTTCTGCTGCCGAACTGTTTCAATTGCAACGCATTCAGAGTGCGGCTGCCCCTGACAGAAGTCACATTAAATGCAGTCACAGTCCGGCAGTTACAGTCGCCGATTCGGACGGCCCTTTTGTGGTTCCGTGGAGTCAAAGTTGCAATAGAAATGTTGGCACAAATGCAAATTCAAACAGACGGGCACAACAGCCAGAGCAGATGCATCAATTGTCTAATTGTTTGCTGAGACAGAGTCGTCATAATGTCCATCAAAGAGGAGGGAAAGGGGGTTAGATACAGGACGTCCTTGTTTTACAGAGAGAAAAAAGGAAGCACATCAAAGTTAAATAAATAAAATAAAAATAAATTTACCTTATCGATTTTGGTTAAAAAATTGGTAAGCTGCTGAAAGAGTGTGTGCTTAATAATTGTTCCTATTTGTTACTTATTTTTTTCCGTGCATCAATGGCTATAGAAAACTGTGTCTGTGACGGCGTCTGGAGTGTCATGCCCGGCATGGACCCGTGGGATAGGTAAATTTGATTTATGACCTATTATGCGTCTTATGTCCAGCCATAATTAAATTATAGCAGGACACACAGCCGGCGAGTCAGACAAAACACAAAATACCGAGCAGCAAAGTCACATTGTCTGCAGTTTTTCAGCCACACAAACACACACACACACACACACAGAGTATGCCACACATAATGCTGTTATTTAAATCATGAAAATTCGCTTACCTAAATTGCATTGCAACAATTGCAGGGTTGGATCTTCAATTTACCCCGCATGTCAGTTTCGTTTTCTGGCAAAAACTAAAGCGACAATCTGAGGCCGAAATGTAAATGTAATTAAAGTGCAGTTAGGCCCCAAAATCTTGGGGGTGTGTAAGTGTGCTTGGCATGCCAAATGAAATTGAAATAAATTATTGACTAATTGTCAACTCAGACGAGGACAATCTGGCACATTTTGGCATGGGGCATGTGGCATGTGGCATGTGGCATGTGGCATTTGGCATGTGGCAGGTGGCATGGGGCGTATGCGCAATCAAATCGCAAGTCAAAGCGCAGGCAAATAACAACAAATGCAGCTAATTTGGCTTGCAAAAATTCCAAGACTTGGGGCCTCGTTCTACGCCTTTTTGGACACGTTTTCATTTAATTCGATTGTTATTGTCTAGCCAACTGACAGTTTGTCTGGGGGGAATCGATCAGCTCCATTGCATGTCTCATTAGTGTCATGGCTTTAAAAGGCCAATGGAACTTAATTGCTAATTTGTAAGTAAACTCATAGATTTTTAAAGAAAGGGAACTTAAATTGGTGTAGAATGGGTTTCAAAGAAGATGTACAAGTTTGACAACTAATTAATCATTGAAGCAATTTAAAATAGATAAAATTCATAAAGTATTCGTGTTTGTTTGCATAGATAAAACTGTGCCGATATAGCTATAAAAATATAGTCTTATTCTTCTTACTATAAAATCATTGCGTTGTTCAATTACCCACTTCATTATTTATTTATTACCTCACTTCCCATATCGTTTACCTTTCATTGCACAACTCGAGCGCCAAAATATCTCTGTCAAAACACGCATTTGATCTGCTGATCTCTCCCCCTTGGCCGCCTGTCAATGGATCCAATTGAAGCCATTAAACTGCGACCCATTAATGGACCACATATCCCCAGTCGGGTCTCTAGGCAAATGTCAAGATTAAGCTTCGGGCCCGAACGTGTAAGCCATTTAAGCGGCGCTGCGGTTATGCGAGCATAAATATCCGTTAATTAACTGACAATAATTATAACAAGTGCACAACTGGGCCAGAGGTTATGGGCTCCGGCTTAAAGTGCTTTCGGGGGAAAGGTGTGCGAAAAATATTAAATCCAATTAAAGAGCCATAAAACACGACATGCCACGCCCCCGCAACTGAACACAAAGCCGCTTAACCCGCCCCCACTCAAAGTGAGACCCCATCGAAGGCCGCCGAATCGATGATTTGGCAGAAAGAAACCCGTTTCGCCCATTGTTCCCAGGAAGGTCTGCTCTGCCACTCGGCTTGTGTTTAATTTGCAACAATCGATCTCCGTCTTTATTGACCACCAAACATTAACAACAGCTCGAGCCAACAGGCTCAACCAAAGACTGGCTTAGAAACCCCAGTGGGTTCCGAATCCATCGAAGCTCATGTGCGACACGCTCTCAGCGGGCGAGTACTGAACGGTCTGGGAGCTTCCGTAGCTGGAGACGCCCAGGGCGGGGGCGTTGTGGGTGTAGGTGGTGGCGGCGGGTCCGTGGTTCACGTTCGTGGTGGCCACTGGCGCGGCATAGGACACGGTCTTGGCCAAAACGGGAGCGGGGGCAGCGTAAACTGGAGCGGGAGCGTGGTAAACTGGAGCGGGGGCGGAGTACACAGTCTTGGCCACCACTGGAGCTGGGGCGGAGTAGATGGTCTTGGCCACCACTGGAGCGGGAGCAGAGTAAACAGTCTTGGCCACAACGGGAGCTGGAGCGTGGTAAACAGGAGCAGGAGCGTGGTAAACTGGAGCAGGAGCGGCGTAAACTGGAGCAGGAGCGGAGTAGACAGTCTTAGCCAAAACGGGAGCAGGAGCGGAGTAAACAGTCTTGGCCAGAACTGGAGCAGGAGCAGCGTAGACAGCCTTCTCGACCACAGGAGCAGGAGCATGGACCAGAGTCTTGGCCACGATGGGAGTGGCCTGGGTGTACAGAGGAGCGGCGTAGGTGGTCTTGGCAATGGCCGGGGTGTAGACGTTGTTCTGGATCCTGGTGTCGCTCTTCCTCACGCTGGAGTACGGGGTGTCCACCGCCTTGGAGTAGCTGGACACGGTGCCGGCAAAGGAGCGCACCACATCCTGCTGGGTGGAGGCGACGGCGTCCACCGAGGGATTGGCGATGGCCACATGGCTGGCAAGGAGACCGGCATTGGCGCAGGCCAAGACGGCGCACAGAGGGATGAGGTAGCGGAAGGCCATTTTAAGGTTTTGGAATGACTTAACTGTTTGCACGACTGTTGCTGAAGGCAGGCTGGCTGGGCTGCGACTGATGCTGATTTGGCCAAAACGCTGCCGCTTTTATACGCATCCGACGCGTGCCAGTTACTGCTAATTTTTTGCCCATTTTTTACCGCGATTTTTGCGGTAATCGAACTGCCCACAATGCGATGGCAGTTCACCTGCGTCGTAACCGCTTGAATGCCAATTTGCAGGCATAAATTAAACGTGGTAATTAGGTCTCGCTGCGGAGCCAAAAAATCTTCAGGGCCCCCGTGTAAAATTAATAACAATTTGCCAAAAAGAAGAAATGGAGGAAAAGACAGTAGAATTTGTGGAAATAAGAAGCATCCCAAGTTGGCAACACAATTCAATTTGGAGCAGCGTCAACTTTGGTAATTTCAATAAATATTCATCATGCGCCCGTGAGCAGCGGAGCAGGAAAATTCATTTTCCAAACTTGGCCGAAACAAAAAGAAAACAAAGACGGGGAGAACAGCAAACAAGACGAAGTGCTACATGCCCTCTTCCTAATTTACTGCCAAAGTTTTGGGTGACCCAAAAAATATTTATATTTATGTTTCAGTCAATATTCAACAATATGTTTTCTCAAAGTTTGAAATAGATTTCTGATCTTGGCTTAACACCTTTTCGAAACCCACTGGAACTTTCTGACTTCTGATCATTAATTTCAACTTAAGATTTCCCTTCTTGAAGTGCACAACAACTTTTCAGCTCCCCTTTGGAAAAAGAACGAACGAAAATCATAAACAACTGACTGCCACACCCCCGAAAAAAAAACCACTGACACCCCTGCTGATAAAGTTGACAGCAACAAGGAACATCATCCCCTCATATTTGCTGCTCGAGTGGAACTCAATTTAATGGAAAAATGCGCCGGGAAAATAAAAGTTTTTCCCCGCTGCCTGTGGAAAATTTATGAGCTGCTGATAGTACGAGTATTCAAAATAATTCACTTTCCCGAACACTTTGGGTGTGGGGCACTTGAGCTGCTGGCCTCCAATTGAAAACGAGACGGAGCACGGAAAGAAACTGAAACCGAAACTCAAAATAGCACAGTCATTTGTCGACCCAATGAACCAGTTTCTCGGGGCTTAGGCCTAAGTCAATCTGTCATACGAGCACACACGAATTTAATTTGCCAGCTGGCCGTGAAATTTGGCAAGACATTTGCGATTTCTGGCTATAAAAACAGACGATTGGTAAGAGTTAAGCATCAGTAGCCACTGCAGCTTACCACCAACATCAGTTTCACTTTTTAGGTTCCTACAGTCTATCTAATAAACCCAAAATGGCTTTCAAGTACGTCCTGTTGTCCTTCGCCGCTCTGGTGGGCGTGGCAAGTGCTGGTTACCTGGCTCCTGCCACCGCCTACGCCGCTGCCCCGATTCCCGTGGTGGCCAAGGTGGCCCAGCCGCACTTCGATGCCGTCGGCACCACCCAGCAGAATGTGGTGCGCTCCTTCGGCGGCACCGTGTCCACCTACTCCAAGAACGTGGTCACCCCGTACTCCAGTGTCAGCAAGGTGGACTCCCGCATCACCAACAATGTCTACACCCCCAAGACCCTCTACTCCGCTCCCGCTCCCGTGATCACCAAGTCCTTCTACGCCGCCGCTCCTGCCCCAGTTGTTGCCAAGACCGTGTACTCCGCTCCCGCTCCAGTTGTGGCCAAGACCGTGTACTCCGCCCCCGCTCCAGTCTACGCTGCTGCGGCTCCAGTTGTGACCAAGGCTGTGTACTCCGCTCCCGCTCCAGTTCTGGCCAAGACCGTCTATGCTGCTCCTGCTCCCGTGGTGGCCAAGACCGTGTACTCTGCTCCCGTGGCCAAGGCTGTCTACGCTGCGCCTGCTCCAGTGGTGGCCAAGACTGTCTACTCTGCTCCTGCCCCAGTTTACTCTGCTCCTGCTCCAGTTTACTCCGCTCCTGCTCCAGTCTATTCCGCTCCCGTGGTGGCCGCCGCTCCCGCCGCCTTCGTGAAGTACTCTCCAGCTGCTGTGGTCGCCCACGCCAGCTTCGATGGATTCGGCTCCCACTGGGGATACTAGGGTGTGAACCCTCAGTTGTTGCCTTTGTTGACACTTTGTTGATTTGTCCGTTAAGAAATAAAGAAAGTCAGTTAGTAGCTGCGCAAAACACGAACTCGCTTTTTAAGTAATTATAACCTGGAATTACCTGGAATTACAGGTGTGAAGAAAGGGTGTTCACAATTAGCCAGACATGTCATGTTCATTTAATTGTTCTGAAAAAAGAGGGAAAGGGTTTCTTTATGGCATTTATATAAACAGCAGATATATGTATATGCATACAGTACATCCATAAAAATAACAAACATTTAAACCTCAAAGCACCTTCTGCAGCTCAAATAAAAAAACTAAATTAGTAAGTCCAGCTAAATTTTGTGAGTCAACTAAACAATAAATAAATGAACAGTCAAGCAATAACAAAGTTGCACTTATAATCCTTATTCCTCTAATATGCCACTTATAAATAAATCCCAGTAACCAGAACTTAAAGTAAACCTTGCACCCTCTATGTTATTTTAAGCATTCCATTTGTCTACCGTTTAATGGGGCGTATGTGTGCCAAGAAATGTTTTGCCCACTCCGAATCTCTCGAAACACCTAAAACCCCCATACTTTGCACTCCTTTTTCCACTCTTTTTTTTTAAGTCGGGGGTGCAAATATTTAGTGCAAAACTTTTCGTTTGTCTTTGCCGGTGGGGTGCAACAAAAAATTGTTGGCCAAAGTTTAATGAGCCACATGACCGACCCTTTGGCCCCCCAACTCAGTACAGTATTTTCATCAGCCACCCCTCCACACTCCATAAACTTTGCGATGGGTTCTCGGCAGCTTGACCAAAGTGTGGTTGTTGCTGCCGTTATTGTTATGGCGGCTAAAAAGTTTGGGCCAACACCCAAACACACGCATAAAAAAGGCATTAACGATGTGGGCCGGAGCAAACTATTTAGCCATAAAGTTGGTCGTTCCGCCGGACAATTTTGTATGCATATTTTATGGATTTTCAAATGCTGCAAAATTGTTTTCCACGACTAGAATTTAATGTTGACAACAATAAAATTTATGCGCGGGACGAGAGACATAAAAGGGAAATAAACTCGGGCGGTTGGGAGGTTTTCTGATCGTCCTTGAATATTTTCTGCTTAGCTGCATTTGCATATTGTCCGGATTGGAGTCCGATTCCGATTCCCCGGCTGTCCCGGCTCTTCCGACAGTATTTGCAATACTTTTTCAATCGCCGGACATGCTTTGTTGATTTCTTTATTGGCTCATCCATATGCATGCCATCGCAGGGATTCTGGACATTGGATTTTCGACTCAAGTGTTTATCGTTATTGATTGCAGTCCGTGAAATATGACGAGAGCCAGCAGCATCCAATTTGTCTCGCACGCCAATGCCAATACCCATTCCCCTTTTCACAGGGGAAATGTAAATTGCAAAGTGAAACCGAATTTGAATTCCACATGAAAATCCGATGCTTAAGCTCCATTCGGATCTGAGAAGTAACTCTAAAGTTCACTGGAAGCAGATGCCTCTTTGAGGTTACTTCCCAGTTCCAAACAGATTCTTAATCACCACTATCACTTGGAGTCACTTCTCCTTCACTGGCACTATCACTTGGAGTCACTTCTCCTTCACTGGCATACACCGACCACTGAGTTCTGCGACGAATCCTCCGTTTAAGCAATATGAGGTACAGAAGTATGCAGAGAACTAGTCCGTACTGAAAAGGCACTTAGTCCGGCATTCGAAACTCAGATCTTTACTCACCTGGATGAGGACTGAGACCACTTGTACAACAGGCACAAACGGCGGCTTTATGGATTGTGTGGAGCAGCCAACTCTGTACAGATTCGCTTTTTTCCGTTTGTATTCCCGGTAGCAGGATAAGGGGATCACTTTTTCGGCAAATACATAGTCAACAGGACCCACAACTCCACAGCACTTTTCCTGAAAAAATTCAATATTTTTAATAAAAGAATAATAAAATATAAAAAAAAACTTTTTTTGAAACATGTTAAGATTTGACAAAGCAATTACAGTCTTTTGAAAAAAATCCAGACTTTGGTGATTTGTCCATATTCGAAGTACGTCACGTATAACTGGGTACTCCTGTGACACAAGAACAGTCATCATCATTTGCAACCAAGTGGCCAGAAAAAGAACCGGCAGATACTGCGAAAAATAGAAATCGTGATGCTATTTCTCACTGTTAAAATGATCAAATATAATCTCACAATTCGAATTCTTTTGTGCAGCCTTAGGACTATCAATGGAATGCCAACGATAAAAAGTGGAATCCTCAAAGCCGACACGGATGCGGCAACAATCAAATACGATTTGTACACACACTTCCAGCAATGGAAATGCTGCAGAAAACTGCGAGAGTACATATAAATGTCCGCCACAGTGAATCCCTGCAGGTGTGTGGGTGTTTTGGCAATATCTTTTCATGAGATCTTAGAAGGACACCTACCACATCGGCCAACACTAAAATGTAGATCACATAACGGATGATCCTCTCACTTTTTTTCATATTTGCCCGAGTTGTCCTTAAAAAAAAGTTAGAATAGATAGATTCCTAGAATGACACTGCATTCGCAGGTATGACGACTTAAAAATTGTATTTAATTAACAAGAAATAACTGAAAATTAAAGAATGTTTCAGAGTACACCTAACAATAATTTAATACTTTAATCTGCCATAACAAAATCATTTCTACGTGTTCTTCGACGAGCCATTGGACTTATGGATCGCAGCGTACGACGTCGGACTCTGGTTGGTTTTAACATAAGCATATAAACAAATAATATACCAGATAATCCTAACTGAAGAAAAACTTTACATTTGTTTAAATAATTCGGATCTGTTTTTACCTTAACTATACTGGAGATAAATTTGCTGTAGAGAACTTTGGGCGGGTCAAAGAATTGGTTGAAGCAGCCAATGGTATGCAGGTCTTCTTCTCGATTACTGAGGTCCTTGAAGCAGGATTTCGGTAAGCTCTTGGTGGCCACAAAGTAGTCGTCAGGGCCCATTACTCCACAGCACTTGTACTAAAAATGAAGTTTAAATATTATTAATTAATTAAATTACTAATTAATTATTAATTATCAATAAAAAGATAGAGTTATGTCCCACATTGACTTCGAAGAACTCCAAACTCTTCTCGTTTTTCCACATTCGCATAACATCCATGTTAACAGGATAACCCTGCGTAAAGACCAATGACATCAAGAGTTCGCCCAGTGAGGAAACAAATAGAAATGGCAGGAACTGTGAGGTGTAACGAATCAAGTTTTTTTTCATATTACAAAATTAAATCCGATAGTACCCACAATCCGAATTCCTCGAGCTGATTTCAGGAAAACCAAAGGAAGGGTAATAAAAACAAGTGGCAAAGTCAAAGTCGAAGTGACAACGCCGATGATCATATAAGAATTATGCAAGCACTTCCAGCAATCCACGGCATTAACATGCATATAGTATATATAAATGCTTCCAATAGAAAGAACCTGCGTTGTAAGGATGTTATATTTCTTCTACATTTTAAACCCTTTTGGGTTTACTTACAAAGGAAATTATAACCAAAAGGTAGATGACAATGCGGCAGGCTCCTAACTTCCGATTGTCATGTTGCCTTTGATCCGCTTGGTTATTTTCCATTTCGTCTTTGCAGTTGATTTTAATTCTCAAAAACTAGACTAATTTTGTTCGTTTTCTATAGCAAGGTCACAAAGGCGAATCCAGTACACGGTAACCAATGCCATACACAAAAACTGTTCAGAATAAGAGCTCAAATTGCCATACATAAATAATTTACTTTTTCACCTTACCGTAATAAACCAACTTATAATAAACATGTAATGGGCAGCCGTTTTGTCGGGATTTTTTTCAGTGCAAATACACACAAAGAGAATGATAAGCTTTCCCACAAAGTTCAGTACTAAAATAATGACTACCTTTAAGCAAACACTAAGACAGTTGATACATATTAGTTTTAAAAAGACGCACCCCGTAAATAATTCGAGTACTTTTGCGGATTGTGGCATAAACTAATGGAACAAGAGAAACAATTACAATCACGGACATGGACAGGCTTACAATCAGAATAATACGCTGATAACCCTGTACTATATCCCAGATATTGATGTCGTTTGCTATTTGGCCGGCATTAAATCCCTGAGAAATAAGTCCAGAATTTGCAGATAGTTAATTAAGCCATCTTACTTACTGCGGTAACAGCTATTAATATCCAAAGAAATATTTTTAAGCCAAGCGTGGAACAAAAGCACATCCTACCTTGTAAAAAAGTACCAATTTTAACTTTTGTTTTGATTTTAAAATATCTGACAAGATTCTCAAGTAAAAAAAAAAACAAATTCTTAATATGTTGAGTTATAAGAGTCTATTACTTTTACTATTACGATTTCTTTTATGGCTTGTTGTCAGTATACATATGCAATATTTTCTCGAATTACTCCCCATTTCTAGCAATTTCTTTCAACCGCATAGAAAAACATAAATTTGACATCATGCAGCACATCTGTTCTGGAAAAAAAAACGTATTTAAAGAAAATTATTAATAACTTATAAATTAATTTGGCATACCGTAAATATCCAACACACGATAAACCAAACGTGTGCGGCAGTCTCCTCAAGGTTTGATCCAGTGAATGTACACACAAGTAAAATTATCGCCTTTGCCAATGACTTAAAAACCAAGGAAATGAGTGTCTTAAATTTAAAGCAAACAATGTAAAATCCACATTAAACAAATATATTTTTGGACGAACCACGTTTAAAATCAAAATATGATGGCGAACCGCTGCATAAATCGCAATCGAGAGAACAATAAGGATGAATAAACATAAGCTCAGACTTATGATGAGAACAATATGATGATGGCCAACCACTACATCCAGCAAACTGATGTCCTTTGCTACTTGAGCAACATTAAATCCCTGCGTAGTGGGTACAGAATATTTCTACGAGAAAGGATTCTAAACTCACTGCGGTAATATGTATAATCACCAAAAGCAATATTTTAAGACCTTTCGTGGGACAAAAGCACATTCTAAACGTCGAAATTTTGTTATGAGTTGTTGAAATGTCTGACAATGTTTTCATGTTTAGAAATAAAAAATTTAAAATTACTATAAACATTCTTTTGAACTGAAAGTGTAAATATATACAAATTTAAGCTCAAGAAACTCTTTAAGAAATCCCTGGAATTTGCATAGATTTATTCATGCCCGCAGCTTTTGACCGCGGTTGTAATCGAGAAACGGCTTGAAGGAGAAAAACTAGAACTAAATCCACATGCGTCCTTGCAAAGGAAGCTGCTATGGAATTTTTTAATCAAACAGTTGCCATTAATTACTGCAAAATTCTGTAGCCACATAACAGACATTTTTTCGACAGCCAGCCGCTGGAATGAATGAAAAGAAAACAGGATGTGGCGATGGAAAGCGCTGCCGAGTCCTTCTCCGTATGGGTGTCTGCATCTGTGAGATAGTATCTGCGATACGGTTTCAGCGTGGAGATGTGCAGAAAAGGCAGCCGAGCCGAGCAAGAACGCCAAAAGAACCAACCGCAGACTCGCCACCAAAAGAAGCAGCAACTAAAAATCAAATTAGGTGCAAACGAGCGCCCGTCAGCGGCAGCCCTTCATTTAGTTTGCGAAAAAAAGTGGGCGTGTTGCGGTTGCGATTTCGTAATGAATAATTTATAATGAACGCCGCCGATGGTTTTTGTTTTAGAGAGCTCTTAGTTGAGATTAAAATTTTGTGGTTCCTCAACTCGGTTGAGTTAAAGTTCACACTCCGCAGGATTCGCCTGATTCGGCTGATAAATGTGCGTGGGCTGGTGTCAAGTGCACGCTCGTGAATTCAATTTGATACACAAACTGATTTATCGACTCACAGCAGTGCCAGTAGCAGCATATCCCTTACACTTTAAACTAATCTAGTTAAGATGCTGAAGAAAAAAAAAGGGAAGTGCAGAAGCCCAAACAATCCCAGAAATATCTGTATTTTAAAATACAAATAAATCTTTGTTTTAATTAAAATGAGATGTAAGATATGTTCCATTATATATTTTATTTAAGGCCTTAGTTATAATATATATTTTTTACTAATAAAATTTCTTTGTTTTTTAGAGTGCAGCATCTCAACTCGACTGGCACACGCCATTCCACAGTGGTTGCGCCCATAGGCCATAAATCGAAAAATCGACTTTAAAATAATTAGTCAAAATGTTAAGAATTTGTCTCCAAATTGTCCATATTTTGTCATTGCAAACTAGTTTTTTCCGGAAATCTAACGGGACATTCTAAAAATAGAATGCAAACTGTGAACACGTGTTCAATTTTGCTGCTGCAGTTGCGTTTTAGTGCTTTTCGTCAAAACAAAAGTGAAGTTCAAAGTGGTCGGACGTTCTCAAAAATTCACCAATTTTAATTATTTAAAATGCATTTTAAAGTTGAAGGTATTAACTTTAAAAAATTGGTTTTATGAAATTTATCTGACTAATTACATTTTATTTGTGTATTTTAGATCGATTAACCCTTTTTTGACTATTTTGTGAACGTCTTTTTCATGTTTAGTTAAAGTTTTAGTTGTGATGCCACGTTTTCCCACAAATAGTATGTATGTTAATGTGTTCGTCTGACTTTTAGGGTACTATATGCCTAAAATCAGCTGCAGAAATTTGCAGATGTTTATATAATCGGGAAAATACTGATGCCATCTATCGTTTGGCAAGGGACAGTTTTTCCTTATTTTGCTTTTGTTTTGTCCTCGTCGCTCGTGTTTGTAATGTTTTTTGAAATATTTTTATTTATTTATTTCATTGAAATTCATTTTTTAGGAGATTCCCATAAGTGTGTATTTACACGTTTATTTATTTTTAATCTTTGGTGTGCAGAAGGTGGCACCAACACTGGAAGATTTCAAAAAATTATTGAAGTTATGCAAGAGCAAATTCAAAACAACGGTTACATTCCCGAGCTAAGCCAACTACCAAAACGTGTTGATTGCATATGCAAAAGAATTGCTACTTTTTGGGATACCTACAAACGGAAGAAATCTGCAATTATGCAATATCAATCAAGTTGGTTGAATGAAATAGAAACAATTGTGTTGACCTGTGCTCATGAGTTGTCTCAACCAACACAAGAAAGTGCCAATCTTGGACGGCCGAAGATTGACTTTTCAGATTGTTCGAATAGAGCAAAACGTCGAAGGATTGCTGAAATAGCGAAAATGGATGACTCTGCTGCTTCCTTGCTTCGATCGTGCAGCTTGTCTTCAGGCCCAAAACATTGCCAAGCCGATATTGACCAAGTTTTATCACTTTTTGTGGAGACGAATTTAACGAAACATCAATATTTGCTTATTCGTAAGTTTATTAATACGCTTGTGTCATTTGATGTATTGCCGAGTTACGAGCAGGTTTTGAAAGCAAAAAAAACAGCTACCCAGAAGATATCAGCGTTACTGAAGCAAAAGCTGAAGTTCAATTGCAAAGTTTGTTAAACCATACAGCTTCACGGATTTTAAAACTTCAACATGAAGTTATTGAAAACATTAATGATGATTCCGCTAAAAACTTAATTTTGATAGGAAAATGGGGATTCGATGGTAGCACCGGACAGTCTGAATATAAACAGAAAGCGCTTAACAATAATTTGGACGACTCTACTCTTTTTGTTACCTCATACGTACCATTGCAGCTGATTACAAATTCTAGTGATCCCAAAGGTCAAAAAATAATTTGGAAAAATCCCCGACCGTCATCTACACGCTTCTGCAGACCATTGAGGTTTCAATTTGAAAAAGAAACAGCTCAATTAGCTTTAAACGAAGAAAGGCATTATAAGGAACAAATTAAAAAGCTAAACCAGACTGTATGCGATATCGGCAATAAAAGAATCGAGGTTAAACACAGCTTGCAATTGACCATGGTAGATGGAAAAATATGTAATGCCCTCAGCGATACGTCTGCAGTCAAATGTTACATTTGTAAAGCAAAGCCAACGGAAATGAACGACTTAGAAAAGTGTTCGGAGAAGAGTGTTAATGAAAACTGCTTCGAGTTTGGATTATCACCGTTGCACTCATACATAAGATTCTTCGAATATTTTTTGCACGTTGCCTACAGATTAGATCAAAAAAGTTGGCGAATTTATACCGCTGAGGGAAAACAGTCAGTTTCTTTAAGAAAAAAAAGAATTCAAGAAGACTTCAGGGCAAAAATGGGGCTAATAGTGGACCAGCCGAGATGTGGAGGTAGCGGAAGTTCAAATGACGGAAATACTGCGAGAACATTTTTCAATAATTCGGAGCTATCTGCTGAAATAACTGGCTTAGATGAAAGCGTAATAATACGATGTTCAACATTGCTCCAAGCCATGGCATCAGGGTACAGGATTAATGCTGACAAATTCAGAATATATGCCCTTGACACTGCCAAACAATTGTTATGTTTGTATGATTGGTACTACTTCCCACCCTCAGTGCACAAAGTGTTAATCCATGGTGCAGATGTGATTAATTTTGCTCTGGTTTCAATTGGAGAATTATCGGAAGAAGCTGCAGAGTCGCGAAACAAAGACATAAAACTATATAGAAAGCAGAACACACGAAAAATATCTCGAACTGCCACAAACTTAGATTTATTTAATAGACTACTTTTGTCTTCTGATCCTTTTATTACAGGACAAAGGAAATTACCTTGCAAATTTAAATCCAATTTGATGAAGTCAACGTTAGATTTGTTAGAAGAATTTGATTAACTGTTATGTTTTTTGATTTAATTAATTTTTTTTTATTTTATTTTATTTTATTTGTTATGGCTGCTGATTTGTTTACAAAAGTGTCTTATTATTAAAGTATTTCAATATTACTTGAAACTGGTACTTATTTGTGTTTACAATTTTTGCTATGGCAGCTGTATGATATAGTTTTCCGATTTGGACTATATTTGGCAAGTATATATAAAACTGGTCCAGGCATATAATCTGTAAGTTTGGTTTACATATCTTGAAAAACAAAAAAGTTTTTCATACTATATACTATTTCTATCCTATCGTTCCTATGGCAGCTATATGATATAGACGTACGATATGGCCAATTTTTTTACTATACATTTAAAATATTTTTTTAGAATTTTGGTCTAAATTTCGTTACAATACCTGAACTAGAAGTATTTATGGCCGCGGCTCAGTACAAGCCCAACCACTGTGCATTCATAAGTCAGTCGTCGTCGTCAGTGGGAGCGAGTCGAAAGTCACAGACGATAAAAAATTACATACACTTGTAACTGGTGTCCTCGGGCCGGAGTCCTTGCTGCGACTACTACTACTAAACCGGAGTTATGTCCGGGTAGCGAGTTCGCCTGTGCTGCAGCCTCTAACAAGG